ATAAAAACTTAATGTATAATTTTATAATAGTTTATATAATAAAAATCATAAAAAATTATGAGCCCAGTAATTTGAAAAAAAGTCCAACAGCCCACTAATCCACTTAGAACTCTACATATTTAAAACCATATTCTTCTTTTATTTTTCAATTCCCTGGAGAGGAGAGAGGATGAGAACATCTGCCGGAGCACCTCAGCCACCGGAGGACCGTCATCACTTTACCAACACCGCCACCGAACTTCCGCCTACATTCTCCTCCAATGATCACCGGCACCACCGATGCCATTGAACAATCATCATCGTCTTACAAACACCTCCAAAACGCTGCCTCTATGTCCGACCACGTCATCTTTCATAATGTTAATATTTTTCCCAACTTAGTCTTTCAATCTTGGATAAAAAAACGAGTTCTGAAACTCAGACATATTCCGGAACTCAAAGAATGATTTTGTGAACACGGATCTTACCTTGTCAATCATATTGATGTATGCATGTTTTCTTTTGACTATTTGAAACTTTATAATGAGATTACTATACATAAAGGATTGAAATTTGATATGAAAGATCGTACAATGAAGAAACTTTTTGCATATGTTCTTCTCTATTTTAACATGTATGCATCTCAAAAACAACAATAACACTGAAACACAAGACAACCAAGACTTGTTCATCTCTACTTAAACATGTATTCATCTTAAAAATGACAATAAGGCTTCAACAAAATATTATCGAGAGATAAAGAACGAATTTTCACCATGTTCCACCTTTTTGGTTGGATTGTTGGAACAAGAAATTGCAAGTTTTGTTTCAATCCATTGTGAGGCTAATACACACCAAACACTTGTTCATAAACAGCGTCTAAAATTATTAAAAAGTGCCATGATGATTGGCTTAAACATCATATACTCATATATAACATCGATCTGTGTAGTTCATAAAACAGCAAAATTCACAAACTACATCCATAGAACACATCTAATTAGGGACAAATAAAAATTTCCAATGTTTTATAAACAGAGGGACAACACACAAGCATCACACTATTACGGCTTTTGGAATATGAACCTCACATCAACATCTTTTATAACGAACATCATGCTGACTGTTGAACTCGCCTTACCTTGAAGACGCTTGAGTTGAAGCCGATGGGTTAAAGGGTTTCTGCTCAGCACACGTCAGCACCTCATGGGGCCCACCTTCTTCACGTCCAACACCCATCAAGTCAAGATAATACAAGTAATGGGAAACCACAGTGTTCATGTCATCCACATCGCCTTTTCCACATGTACGATCACCATAAAGGATATTCATTGTGGTACCAAAACCGGGGAATCTTTTGGCTAAAGTATCGTTCTTTGTGGGTTTCCAAGTACCCACAAATGCCTCATGGGCTGAGGGCTGACCCTTCTTCATTGGGGTTACCCACGTGTGAATTGCAGCTTGGAAGGCTAAGGTCGCGTTTTGTTCGATGTATTCAGGGTGGTTCAAAAGATCAACGTTTAGGGCTTCACCAATTTTCCCATAGTTGTATTGCCTGAAATAATAATAATAATAATAATAATAATAATAAAACAGATCCATCTTTTAAAATATGTTTGTTACAAAGGACACGACATCGACAAAAACCGGACTAGACTAGACTGAACTTGATAGTACAAGAAGCTTTCTAGGGCTACCCATTTTAAATGGGACAAAAATTACAATTTTTGTCTTATTGACATTAGTGTTATGTTTGTTACATACGACACAACATGAACCGGACTAGACTAGACTACTGAACTTTAGGACAAGAAACTTTCTAAGGCTACCTTTTTTATATAGGACAAATAACAATTTTTGTCTTATTGACATCAGTGTTATGTTTGTTACATAGGACACGACATGAACTTGACAGGACAAGAAATCTTTTTGTTACATAGGACACGACATGAACTGAACTAGATTAGACTGAACTTGACAAGAAGCTTTCTAGGGCTAACAAAAATGACAATTTTTATCTTATTGACATCAGTTATGTTTGTTACATCCAACACAACATGAAATGGACTAGACTAACTTGACAGGACAAAAAGATTTCTAGGGCTACGGTTTTTATATGGGACAAATAAAAGTTTCAATTTTTGCCTTATAGAGTCAAAACAAGAAAAACATGGGTGTGATTGATACCAATAAATGGGCAAAGCACCACGACCATAGTATCCGGCTCCAGGGGCACAAGGGTAAGTGTACTTGTAGAAATCATCACAATACTCATGGGGAGGACTCATTTCTTTGTTGTAGCATAATCCCCATGCTGTTGGTCCACCGGTTGCCACTCCATATCCACCTTAAAAAATTTAATCAATTAACTTTATATTATTATTATTATTATTATTATTATTATTGTAGTTAATAGAGCAATTATCAAAATAACGAAAATATAATTGTTGAGATTTTAATTAAATCATGGAAAATAAAAGCTTACAAGAAGTTTGACTGCCAACATGGCCAAGAAACGCCGCGATCTCCTTCATCTGAGTAGTCTTGTTGCCGGTTGTACCAAATCCATGCGGCTGATAAAGGGCGGAGGCGGTGATAAAAGACTTGTAATCCCAGAATCCGGCGGCGTGGGCCACCGGAGAGTTTCTTTTTGCAAAGAGCTCCTCAAACTGGTAGGTGTCAAAGTAGTCGGAAATTGTAAGGTTACAGCAATACTCCGACCACCCTTTACATTCCCAACCCTTATCACATACTTTCTTCCCCTTCACCTTCTTCACCAATACTTGTGTTGAAGAATCAGCATTCGCGATCGAAACAATTACAAGCAGTATGCCGATTAGCAAAACACTCGTCTGTTTTGCCTCCATTTTTATCTTGTGCTGAAAAAGAAGACAATAACGAAGAATTAAGACACACCCAGATGCTAATCGAGATCTTTTTGAGGGGTGTTTAGTAAAAAGATTGAAATTTTAAAGAAATGAGAGACACCCGGATGCTAAAATGCACACATGATGTATGAAAACAAAATAAAGACAACTTCTTTTTATTTTAGAATAAAAACATAAATGTTAGACACCTAGATGATGAAAGTAGCAGAATACCCTGGAATAACTCTTGTTTCTTGTTAGAATTTTTAGATGGAAGAAGAGAAAAAGAGAGAGAAAGCTATACACTGGAAAGAAGAGAGGGGTGTGTGTGTGATATAAAGAAGAAGTAAAACTTACAGAAAACGAATGCGTAACTCACTGAGATCAAATGTCGTTTGTTTGATGGAGATGTAATTGAGGTTGTGGGAAGTTGTTGTTTGGATTTTTGCTTGGGCTACAAAGCAAGGAATGTAGGGAAGAGTGTTGGGTGTTAGGTGAATCAATGGAGAAATGGAGTAGATGATGGAATGGACGGTGGAGATTGACGGATCGGAGGTGGGTTGGGTGTATGAATCATGGAAGGTGCTAGATGTTTAAAGTGGAGCCGACTGGATTAGACATGACGCAAACAAATTTTACTAGTAGCTTTGAAGACGATGATGACTCACCAACTACATAAATAAATTGAGAATTTCAAATAGAACTCGTCACCGACACCTCACCTTTTCTTTTATGTTTTCCTAAATTTGGTGAAATAAGTTTTTAAACCTTTTGAATTATGAGGTGTTTGGGATTGTTTTTTTAGATTTTTAAAAGAAATTAATATGTTAAAAAAGTATCTGGATAGCAAAAATAATATTTAATATGTTTCTTATAAGGCTGAGAACTCAAGTTCAAGAAGTTACAGATACTTGGTTTTAAGTCAATAAGTTATATTTAATATGTTTCTTATAAGGCTGAGAACTCAAGTTCAAGAAGTTACAGATACTTCGTTTTAAGTCAATAAGTTATTTTTGAGTTATTTTATATATATAAGTTAGCTAAACATTTAGGTGTTGTTTGATTTTTCAGAGCTAAAAAGTCTGTAATCTGCCGAACATAGCTGCAAACCTCTGTTAGGGATGAGTATAGGCGGGTACCCGTCTCATTTGGCGAGAATCGGAACCGGCGGTTCCTATAAAGTTAGAACCGGAACCGGAACCATTCTAGGTAGTTCTTAAATGTTTGGAACCAGTTCCGGAACCGGCGGTTCCGGTTCCGAGAGCGGGTAACCCCGATTACATTAATTTTGTTAACTTTTGTCGATAAAACCGCAATTTAGTTCGATTCAAATCAAATCAATTCGGACCA